TTTGTATCATTATTTTTTAATAAGTTTCAATTTTGGATAGTTAGCTATAACTATTTTTTAGTAACTAAATAAATATGAAGAATTGATACTTCATTAGGTAAAGTATCTTATATTATAAAGACCTTCAATTCGCACTAAATATCAGAACCATCACTGGCAGAAACATAATAACAACAAAAAAAGAAATGCTAGTCGTTGGCCTCAGCTGATACTAACATTAATTAATTTTTTTTTCTTTATAAAAGCCTCGATTGACAAAACATGTTTTATGCGATCGTCGTCTAAAACCGATTAGCCTAATGAAGTCCAAAAGCAGGAAAACACACACCCAATCACACAATAATTATATCTAATTAATATTTTTGACGAGAAATTATTCGGAGGACAAATAATTCCGTCAGTTATGTAGAGACAATAAACCATCGGCAATTATGACTTGATGTCAGCAGTTCATCGCAAAACTTCCCCCTCTAGAGTTTAGACCRTAAATCATAATACACATCGAAATAATATAATTGTTATCAAAATATAATCATCGATATGTCATTAATATAAATAATATATAACAATAACACATGATAAATCAATGATTATTCTGATAGGTGGAACGGAAACGTAAACATCCGTTTCCGGTACCTATTAATTTGCACAGGGTGTGCGTGATGCGCTTCGCATCGAAAACCATGAACGAGAACGCGTGATTCGGGAAAATCGATGGTGCGGGCTAAATAAATTGTTTACCCTCCCAACCGTGCCCTGCCCACACGAAAACTAACTCTCTCGCCATTCACCGCCCGCGAGTTGGAGGCCCACCGGTTAAGTGGTGACAGTCGGAGAGTGAGGTGGAGGAGGGCAAGGCGGGGGAAACAGTTGTCCACATCACCGCCACGATACGAATGATACCAGATGGAACGCCTTTTACGGCGGCCACGCAATAACCTTCACGTCAACTTAACTACAAAAAAAATACCTATTATAGTTACGTAAATAGGTACCAACTGTTTTTTCGCGCGCCCAAACGACGACGAAAATATATGAAACCCAGGCGATCGATGTCGCCGGAAAAGCGGACGAGACACGAATACGATGGAAATGGMGAAAACCATTATGATTGATAACATACATACGGAAGAGAAAATAAAAATAAATAAATAAAGAGAACACTCTACCTTGTGTGCTGCGTTTTTCCAAAATATTTACAGAATAATTACAGCGAGGCGAACATCATGATAATGCGCGTAGAATAACGGTGACGAAAAATACTAGCTGCGACGAGTCCAGCAGTACTGAATCAACGAATAACGATCAACGAGAAGCCGAGAACCTCCGCATCCGCCGCGCTGCCGTCGCCAGCCGCGTTGCACGACCCCTCTACAACAGTCGGCCGCCGGCGAATAGGGGGCCGCCTGCCGGTGAACGCGCGCGCGTCGGTCGATACACAAAACCACGTCGAAATAATATAGTCTGTAGACTGTAGACAACGTTTCGATTTTAGGGTATACCATTACCATACTGTCTAGTGTCTACTACACTGCCTTTGCCCTTTGCTCACGCTTTTGGAAGACATTTAGGCTATAGCCTTATAGGACAATAACAATATTCGTTTCGACGGCCACGCTATATTACGATGACGTAATATTGACGGCTAATAAGATTGTAATAACGTCATTATCGTTCTATTTACAATAATAGAATATTGTCTTATCGCTAGCCCGAAATATCTGCCACAAATGATTAATAATRAAAAATGGTTATTCATTGTCCTCGACCGGCAATCCTTGGTGATTTAATATTCGCTCACATTTTTACTAACCCAACGTGGTTTCCTACTCGACTCGGCTGTCCATTTTAGATTTTCTGTTTTGAAAACTATCTTTTTAATTTCTTCTTTATATTTTTGTGTACGTGTTGACGCGTAAATACCACTGCAAAGATGTGATATCGTATGCAATGAATTTTCACAAAAACAACATAATGATAAAAACAACGTGATTATTATGCCGATAAACACTGAATGTGTTTACTGTTTATAACGTACGCGCAATTATTTATTTAAATTAAGTTTAATGCGTACACTCGAAGTAAACACATATAAACATGATATACATAACTACATAAGCACATAACTAATTATATTAGGCCAGAAGCCTGTATGATTAAATTATACATTTGTACTAGCTTACGCGATATATATGACTATTGCTATTTAATCATATATTAAATAGATTAGTACCTAATAGCAATTATTCAGCCCAAAACTTTCAAATTACTTATTTTACAAAATTWMAAAAATTTGATATTGTAATATATTGTAAAATATATATGTAATGATTTACCTTGAGAAATCAACAGTGGGTACTTATATATTTTATTCCAAAAGTTGTAAACCTCCTAAATA